CTTCCTCCTGGCTTCCCCTCCTCCCTGGCAGAGCATGAGGCTCACAAAGTCCTTGGTCAGCGTAAACATTTGAGCAGTAACTACAAACGTTGGTGTTATCAGCACTGTTCCCAGGCCCAAAGTAAAAACCACAGAGCTGCACCAGCTACTAAGAAAGAGAAAAATGACTTCTACTGCTGAACCCAGGACAGTCCTAGAGTATTCAAAACATTTGGATGTAACTAGCAGACACAGCGCAAGACCCAGGGGAAATCCACACATTTCTGGGATAAAAGTTGGAGGCCAAACATTTCCACCTAGGGCTCACAAAACACCTATACTGAGACAACTCAATGTCATACAAGGAGCCTTGAAGAGAATATGTGGCTCTTCATGGAGAGACATAAGGTTTGGTCTTGTCTGCAAGTTATGTCTTGATCAGAAGATAGCTCTTTATTGGACTACACATGAGACACATGCATCTGGACTAGGAAGCCAAAGGCAGCAGCAGCAGCATCCCTTGTTTGCTACTGGCAGCAGGAACAGCAGTGCCTTTGTCTTCCCTGAGCACATGTACACATTTTACATGTATTGGTGATTTTTGTTTTAACCTGCATTGGCCATAAAGTCAAATCTAAAGAGAAAAAGTTTGGAAGTTGGAAGTGAGTGATTGTATTAGAGTGGGCGAGAAGGAATTGAAGAGTAAAAGTGACCTTCTTACTGACAATCCAAGAAATTGCCATATTTACTCAGCTCAGCAGAGCAAATGATGGCAAAAACCAGACCAGATCCTCCACTAGAGCATAACAGCATCACACCACTGACTGCAATATACTTTAACATAATACCCATGTAGCTGGACTCTAATGGATTGCAGCCACATTACACCACTAAGGATCTTTATCCGGAGGGAAAGACTAAAACACTGACCAACTTCACAGTCTCAGTTTCATTTTATCCTGATTTTGCTCCAGTGTAAATGTCTTCAAACATACAAAACTGCTGAGAACAAGTACAGTATATTTTGCAATACAGTATTAATAGACTTACACGATCTCTCAGACATTAAGTCAGGTGTGTTATACGGATAAATATGCTGACCCTATAGTGACACCAGTAATACATGTGAGATAACAAATGCTGCATGCTGGGTTTGAAAAATAGCTGGAAAGGCAGAGGGAAATCACTGTGTGAGGGAGGTGATGCAAGGCCAACTGTCTCTGGGTAATACCCCACTAGACAATGACAGACTAAGGAGGTACTTTTTAAAAGAGACCCTCCTCCTCTCCCCAGTCACAACACCTGGCAAACAGGAATTACAAGCACTGGTGACTTCTCTGTTTTGCTTTCATGTATAGCACCTTCCCTCCAAAATGGGGTCTGGTCAAATTCTTACCTTATTTTGTGTATGAGGGTGCATGGAACGATTTTCTGTGGTCCTTATGAAACATTCCATTAGCCCTAATATGGAATCTTTTCCACTGACTTAAAACTTTGTTTAGTCTTTGAGTTGGGTCAATTTTTCAACAAAAACCTAAACTGAAAATCTCCAAATTCTTCTTTTAAAACATTTCAGCTTTTCTATATGCTAACCAGTTTCTGGCCTAAACTATTCTCTGAATTCAACCTGAAACTGGAAGTAGTTTGATCTCCTCAATAAACAATTGTGAATTTACTATTCATCAAGAAAAATTATCACTTGGATTTTGTTACCAAGAAACCTAAGGGAGAGGAATGACACAGCAGTCATAGGAATTGCATGCTGTGGCATTGAAAAGAAAGAGATTTATAAAAAAATATTGTTAACAAACACTAGTCCCCCTGGCATCAAGAAATAAAAAGGGGGAACAAAAGCCACCCACAAATTAGGTACAAGGTAGCCATCATCTCAGATTACAGCAAGAAAACTAGTTCATACTAAATAACAGGAGGACTTGCTAGGAAAATTAGAAGGTATATAACACAAAGAATGGATGTGAGATAATAGCATCACACCAAGAATTACATTCATTTAATTTGCATGAAATCCTGAAAGATCCCAGCCTAGCCTTGCTGGGATAGATTTTTATACTGATGGTCAGCAGATAGTGATATTGCCATGGGTAAGGCTGCAAAAAAAAGGAATCAGTTGTAATTCATGCTGCTTCTTCATCCTGAGAAACATAACCAGTAGGTTAATAACTCAAATTTTACCTGTGTAGAGTCTGAGTTTTCCCATTCTTTTTTGATAGTGCCAATGACAGCAGAAGTTCATTTCTTGAAGTCAAGTACTTTGTGTAAGCAGCTAAATATTTAGAGGTGTTTGGAGCTTATGAAATGTGAGGATGCTCAGTGTGTGGATGGAAAGGCTGCAAGGACATCTTATTCCACAGTATTTTGTTATACCAGATGCTGGCAAAGCAGAGGCAAAGCAGTGTGGCAACGAATGCGCATTGTTTTGCTGCAGATTTGGCCTGTTCTTCATTCACTGAAACCCCCACAAATTCCTGTGTTCTTGCCCCGAATTTTTCTTTTTGCTGTTGAAACACCTCATTTGTTTGTGTTGGGTGTTCTCAGTTGGCCAACTCTTGCAAGGAAACGTGACTGGCACAGTCCCTGATGGATGAGGCTGCCTGCACCACGTAGCCAAGCTGCGGGGCTGAGGGGCAGAGGGACAGTCTGCAACGCAACGTGGTTGCAACACTGGGAGAGGTTCTCCACGATCCGCTGCTGTGGCAGGCTAAAGGGCAGCTTTTATTCCTTCCTTCCCCACCAGATGGGAAGGGACACTGCTGGCCCTACAGGAGGTGATGGTGAGGGGAGGTCTCTGTGCCACCTCAGGCCTGTGCTCCACCAGGGACCTCTCTGGGGAGAAGGGGCCATAAGGATACATGTCCTTGGGGTGAAACAGCACTTCACCGGCTTCAGGATCCACAGGGAGCCTCACACTTTCCTGACACTATGGGCCTGCAGGTCACTATGTCCTCCTGGTAGAGCCCATGAGAGCCTTACAGAAGAGAGAGGGTGCCTGCCACTAAGGCCCAGTGAGGTGCTGGGAAAGCAGGAGTGACCCGCAGGTACAGCTCAGGGGACAGTCTGTCCTTCAAACCCAGCCCCTGCCTCAGCCTGAGGAAAGCACCGAGAGGCACTGACTGAACCCCACATCCCCAGGGGGGAGGTTTGTTCTGAGTGTCTCACAGAGCATGGATCACCTGCCAGGGCTGCTTCACCTCTGGAGAAGTTGTCTTGCAGCTCATTGTAGTGCTGTCATCAACATCACCTGAGGGGCTGGAAGTCTTTCCTGAGGCAGCTGAGCCAGGCCAGGGCCTGCCTTAGGGCAGCAGGGCCCGCCTGATAACCGAGCAGGATCAAGCAGGTTACCATTTACCACAGATCTGCCCAGCAGCACAGCCATGATTTATACAGATAAAATAGGAACAGAAGTGCTCCTCTGACTGTGCCTTATGTGCTCACAGGGCCAGGACACTTCAGCGAGGTGAAGGAAGGGCTGCGGAGACGTCTTCACCAACCTGAGCCTGGTGCAAGCAGCCAATGTGCCGGCTCCAGTCTGATTACCGCTTCCCCAGCCCAGATGGTGTGCGGGAGAGCAGATGCTCTGTGATCCCTTGAGCTCCCAGACAGGGTCACCTCTTCTATGTGCTTCTGGGTCTGGGGGAAAAGGTGACCCCGACTGGGGCCTGTTTTACCGTTGGCAGCAGACCAGCGACTGCTCTCTGGATGTGCTCTGCTGATTCAAGTTTCAAGCAAAGCAGTAATAATTTGCTTTGTCTCCTGATGACCAGTCTCGTTACATATGCTACTCTCCTCTTCACTACCATAAGCCACGTTTTATACCATGAGGGCCAAAATCCTTTTCTACCCCTTTTCTGACTGTGTACATACACATCTAACCAACTAAACAGATGATTTTGCAGAGCTAGGAGTGAAGAAGAGGAAAGGGACACAAGATAGGCCCTCCATGCATGCCACTGTACTCCAGCTTGTCTTTCTTGGGCTGGAACTCACAGAACAGAAACTACAAAAGACACCGAGAGTGCTCTAATTTCATCTCTAAGTCAAATCGCAGAAAGATCTCTTCTTCCGCCATGCCAGAGAATCATTTATCCAAAGTGATGTTAGAAGCCTCTGAGTGTTAGGAGATGTTTCCCTATGCCCAAATTCACTTGCAGGAATGACACATTAGACCTTTTTGCAATTCACAGGACTTGTGGAGAAGAGTTTAACTCTTTTATTTTTATAGCTTCCAATAAAATACTGGTCATGTCTGTGTGATCAGCCATCAGAGTGTCTTGGGTACATGGACCCAAGCCACATGACAGGCTGGCTGTCCAGCATGGACAAACATACCCAAACCTCTCTCAGTGGCAGCTCCTGCTGCTGCAACAACTCAACAGTGGCAAATACAGAGCAAGTGTTACCTAGAACCCCCAGATACATATGGCTTGCTCTATATGTGTTATGAAAAATGTCAGAATTCAATGCCATGGAAGACAGTCTGCATTATGCATTATCCAAAAGTCTACAGATTAATATCATCCTCTCTGTCTATATAAAAATATGCAACTGTACATATTCCTCAAGACAAAGCTCTTTATCTTCATCGTAGTAGAGCTGTTGTGATATAATAAGGTTTTTTTAATTTTATGAATACTGAATGTAGCCCCTTTACAAATCTTGGATATGTGTAGCATGATACCAAAAACTCCAGTGATTTATGCACCCTCATTGTGCAGTCATTTTTAAAATAGTTTTTAAATTGAATACAAACATTTTATCCCTATGATGGACGTACACATATTATGGCTATCATCTTTTTTGCTAAAGGCTTGTGGCTGAGAAAAATCACAGAAAGCTTTGGTAACTAGAAACATGCTTAATAAATGCAAGGTATTTTAATTTAAGGATGTATTTTAATTTAAGGATGTTTATAGAAGCAGTCTGTATTTATATAGATACAGCTTTCGAATATCTGGTTTTGTTATAAAATAATAGAAAATTCTCTTACATAAAAAGGCAGTTACCTGCAAGAAGAGGTTTCTGTTAACCTACATAGAAAACAGAAGGTCTAAGGCCATACTTCTGTGATAGATCATCAGCTTCAGTACAGTGCTCCTTGTCTGCTCTCATGTCACCCTGTAGTGGGAGAAGAAAGGCAGTGATATTTTCTTGACCTACTCAAAGGGTGTGTTGAGATGGTGTGTATTGGTGAGCAGGTCCCTGGAGGACTGTATGAAAGTGTCCCAACAGAAGTACATTGTTTGATGGAAATGGAAAGTTACTGTAAGAGCATTTGTAGAAGCCTTCATGTCCCATATGCCAAGGAATAATCTGCTGTAAATTAAAAGAAAAGTGTGTTCATTGCCTGGAAATTTATGAACCATTAAAAATTAAAGTTGACCAGCCACTTTCATTTTGTTCCTTATTTTGGCTACCTCTAAACTCAAGAACCCCTAATCTTTCTTTTAATACTGCAACTCATCGGCCTGTGAAATATATAGACTGAATTTTCTGTGAATGTCAGCGGCATATTTTTTCTTGAACCATGAGTACACATAAACATTTCAGTGCCGTGGCTTGAGTTAGCAGTTAGAAGTATGGTTTGAGAAAACCTCTTAAAATACTTAAATACAATAATGAAATAGCTTCTAGAGATCTTTTGAAATGACTTTTCACTTGTGTTTTGATGAAGCTCAGCTAAAAGTTAGGACTCCTGCATAGCCCAATGCCTTTGTTCTGTGTAGATGAGAGTGCAAAAAGATGCAAAGTTTGTTCCCAGGGGCTGAAATCCTTAGAAGTCTTAATGGCCCATATAAGCCCTCTAAAAATGGCTTGAAATGGGTTTGAATAGCACATATGTCTCTTTCTGGCTGATGGGAAAGTAGTACACATCACTGAAAATTAAATTCAACTATGCAGTTTTGAAGGATTATAAATACCAGCAGCAGAAACCCCATTCTAAGCCTGCAGATCTCATTTGCCTGTTTAAGGTTCCACTTTCCTTTTTTCCCATGGGTGCATTTTGCTCAGAAAAGGAATTGTGGGTAACTAGAAATACTGGCTTCAGAAGTTCAGATTTAAGACCTGAACCCATGCACACATACTATTATTTGACAGATAGTATTACAGATTAAATTTTGTGAATACTTGTACTTCCAAGAATGCTTGGTAAAAATTACATGTGTGTGAGTAACACTGAATGTCACATCAGGGGAAAACTTACATGCAATTTGCAGTGAAGCAAGGTCATACTAGTCAGTTAATCACTTCCCTCTAATCACTACTTTCATGGTCTGTACCATTTCAGATAACCTTTCAGTATTGTAACAGTCACGGTGCTGGACTGCAGTATGACTGTTCAGTGCACAGGAAACTGGTGCATAGAAAAACAGAGATGTGCGTACACATACACAAACAATTTCCCATTTAAAATCAATATTGGATCCCCTGTTATTAAATCTGAGTATCAAAATACACTCAAGGCACGTTTCAGTAATGCCAAGCAGCAAAATTGTTCACAGGGTGCAATGAAACCACTAGGAACATCACTAGTATTGATTAATGCAATATGAGTGAGGGCAGAAATTAAGCTGGGGATAGGGGTCTCCATTAAAAATGTTTATTGCTAAGTGCTCATGTATCACTTCAGTTCCTCTGCAGAGCTGAAAAAAAACCAAACCCATTATAACCTTCTTCAGGGAAAAAGAAAGACATTTAACTGACATATTCGTCAGAGAAATTTTGCTTTCTTTCTTTACTCCAATCTTATTTAGGGTGCTAAGAGTGCTAATAAAACCTGAGAGAAGTACCAGTTTGGGAAAACAGTTAACTACATGCTTAACACAAAGCAACACTTTTAGCAAAATATATGCTTTTTTAGTCAGCTCTGCTCTGGATTCAGTGGCCTGAATCTCAGATTGTGAAAATCAGATCTGTTACGATATTTGAAGCTGGATACATAAAAACCTGTGCTGCTCCACCACCAGTACTCTCCCTACCCAACTAAATTCATTAACTTACCCAGCAGCTCCACCAGGTTGTAATCAATTCAGGAAAACATCCTGTAATGAAAAACAGAGAAAGTATTGATACCATCCACTCACCCTGGCATTCTCCATGCTTGACAGCAACTTCAGTCTGATTGTCTGGCAGAGTTTTCAGAATTACCCACTTTGTCCTGCATTACACTGGGTATCTACAGCTGCTCCAAGATACCATCTCTTTCACCTGCTGTTCCAGGCTCATCCAAACTAAAAACTCAGATCTGAGCCCAAAATTTTGTGACAGTTAATTAGTAGAACTAAGATGGGACTCCACTTCATAAAAAGCAAAATACAGGCAAAATACCCATTGAGTTGTATCTGCTTTGTAACAAACCCTGCTATGTTTGCCTTTGCTTTTCTACCCCTGAGCCAGAGGGAGGGACAAGATCTGGAAAGAATGTTGGTGAGCCTTTCTCAGAACCCAGTGAGATCTGGATTTGGTTCCTTATTCCCATAGAGACCTTTGAGTCTAAACACAGGGATTAGTTTCTCTTTAGTGATTTCTACTTCCCTTTTGTGTTAAGTTTTGTCTAAGGATTGTTCTAAATTGCATGGAATGGCTTGATGGGCCTGTGAAGAAGGGAATCGCATGTAGCTCAATCTATGGAATTACAATTTCTGAAGAGAAACTTCTGGATAATTATCAGATAATAGAGCTAGCAGGATACTATTGGCACAATACATATGTGAAGAATTTAGGACTATCCAGAAAAACCTCCCTGTGCCCTTGCACTGCTAAGCATTCATTGATGTAGTGGCACGGTCCCTAATTGTGTCTCACTGATTAAAAACTTTCATTGTGCTGCCACCAAAGGAAAACTGTACACAGTTCTATGTGAATTCCTGTGTCCACCTCTGAAAGGCATATCAAAATCTGCACCACTTTGACCTATACTCATCCATAACCCAAGAAAACAAGAGATCAGTTAAACCAGTACAGGGAAACTCAGAAACTTGCCAGTGCAACAGTTAATCTGCACACTGCTGATTACCTATCTTTATCCAACTCAGATGAAAGGTTTGCCATCTGGTAAGGGTCTTGGCTTACATACAGCAGATGTACTCAGTCCAAAGCCAGTAACATTAACTGCAGTTCCAGTAACATTAACTCACAGTTCTAACATGTGCACACACACAAATCAGGGTGCAATATTTTTTTTTAATTATTATTTTTCACATCCCTGAAAACAAAATAATCTCTTTACATGCCTTTATTTGTTACTGTGTTAACTGAGTCAGTACATAAGTACCAGGACACAGTCAGTCCACAGATACTGCCTGATGCTAATGCATGAGCCCCCAGAGCTTGCAGAAGTATGGCAGAAGGAGGAACAGCTAAAAAGCTGGAAAAACAGCAAAGGAAGCAGAGTATGTGTGAGTGAGTGAAAGCAAGAGAAAAATCCACAGTTGGGCCAGAATTCTGCTTGCCAAAAACAAGCTAAGAGATCTATTTCCAAATGAAATGAGTCAAACCAGGGAAACAAAAATAATAATGCTGTGTGCAACTTAAAGCAGCAGCTGGTATCTGAGAGGAAACACGAGATGAGTTAGAAGACACAGAAGATTAGTCTTTTCTAGTCTTCAAATTATTATGTTTGTCAAGCTTTTGGCTCAAAAATGTTTGACCTAATCACATCTGTTTTAACAACTTAAATGAGAGGCCCAGCAGCTGTAGCTGGCAAAAGAATCTCCAAATCTGCAGACTCCATTTTCCAATATTTGGGCTCTTGTCTGAACTATCTAGGGATAACATAAACTCTGCACCCTAAAAGTACCTGCGCTGTGCATAACCACTTACAGACTGAGATGCTGCAGCCATCCTGCAAACAGGCCTGCTTCTAAATTCAGCTGTTCCTTGGCTTAGACTCTGGAAAAGGAAACCCATTACTCTGCTGAATGTAAATTTATTTCACATTCTTGCAAACAATCAACTAATGCCTCTTTATCTACACCCAGATACAAAGGCAAACAATGGGTGCTGAAGAGAAGTAAGTGCTGACGAGGTAGAGGACAGAATACAAAGTCTTGCAAGTAATGTGAAGCCAATCTGGCTGAGACTCCAGTGAAAAGAGAAAAGGTGCTTTGCAGAAGGTTAAAAGAGCATACAGAGGATTTTTTTATTATTATTATACAAAAATATATATAACAAGTAAAAAAACAAAAAACCTATTAATATGGTTACATGAAAATGAACTGGCTGGATGATCTAAGCTAGTTTTTTTTTTGTGCCCCTGTAACCTGCTGAGTTTTGTTTAGTGAGAATTTCCTGTCTGTCTAATTTTCATTGGCACATCAAGTTTCTTGCAGTGCCTGATTCTTTTTCAACATCTGCTGCTCAGTTTGACAGTATTAATTTTGGATTTCTCCCCAGATCAGATCAGTTGAATATTGTAGTGAATGCTGGCAAAAGATCGAAGTTATCTCTCTTTTCTCCTGTCCTTAATGAAAAAATGTTTTCTTGAGATTCATAATCATTGCTATTACTCTGATACTGAAAATCATAGAATAGAGAACTATTACATATACAAATAGAGATAGGTTTTTTCTCCCACCAAAATTCTCTCCACCTGTCTATATATTCAGTTTACTATTCATTGCTGCTGTATCCACAATCCTCTAAGCATACATGTTGAAAATATTCAATTTTCAAGTGTGTAAATGCCGAAACATTAATCTATAAGCACTACCAAAGTAGGGGGGTTTGGATGGGGCATAAACTTAACACTTGTCATACATGTTATGATGGACTGCAAGTTTTGCATATCCAGAGTCACAGAACACTAAACCAGGAACATATATACCAGTATACTGTTTGCAGGGCTTTTGTTATAGTTATTGTCACAAGTGGGTGCTCTACCCCATTAACAGTATCTCAGACATGGTCCCTACACCAAAGAGCGTACAATCTGTGTCTAAGGAAAGAGTTGAGATGGTGTCAGGCAGAGTGAAGGCAGATATTCAGGAAGTAGTATTTATCAGGATGATCAGTGACAGCATCATACACTAAGAACATGATTTTATCTTATTATACACTAAGAACATGATTTTATCTTTGTATAGATGATGGCAATTTAGGTATTTGAGCAGAACAATGAAGCAGCTCTGTGAAATGCTTTTGACCATGTAACGTGCATTAAAAGAACAGAAAGAAGCACACTGGGTAAGTAAAGAAGAAGGGGTGAACCACCACAAGCCAGCCTGTAAAAGGAAGCAAGAGGTGCTGGAAGTGAATGCAAACTGTTCTGGATGTGTTAGTAGAAGGAAGTTAGTCAAGTAGTTCTAAATAAAACAGAGTGCCTTCATTTATTTGGTGTAAATGAGATACAAGGGAATTCTTTGCTGCCCAAACTAAACTCCACTGCCTGCATTTGTCTTGTAAGGATACAGGTAAAGCAACAAGCTAGGAAAATAGTGTTGGCACCAACGTACTAGATGGATATGGACAGAGCAAAATCCATTTGCAATGCCTATAAAAAGGATACTTCAGGATGTAAGATGAACAGTCTCTGGATGAGCATTTTAGCTGTGTGTAGGATTATATCTAAGGTTAAAACAAACAAACAAACAAAAATTCTCAGCCAACACCGCACGATTTAGTTGTGACTGTGAAGAGAAAGCATTACAAGACAAGTATGATACTCCAACTGGCCTAAGTAATGAGCAGGATTGCAGTGCTGTCCCTAGTGATTGAAGAAGGATGTGACAGGGAGGCAGCTTGGAGAGAAAGATTAAAAGCTCTCTTTTAGTCCTCTTCAGTTCAAGCTGATGGCCAGACAACCACAAGGCAATGCTAAGAAGACAGAACAATTTTATTTTGAGCAGAATGAGACAGGTCTGGAATACAGAGATAAAGCTGTGAGTTCTCTATGGAGAGATGGCAAATTTAGATTAGGTTCAGAAGGGTGTCATCATTTAACCCCAGCCAGCAATTAAGCACCACCCAGCCACTGGCTCACTCCCACCAGGTGGGATGGGGAAGAGAACTGGAAGGGTAAAAATAAGAAAACTCGTGGGATGAGATAAAGACAGTTTAATAGGTAAAGAAAAAGCTGCACACACAAGCAAAGCAAAACAAGGAATTCATTCTCCACTTCCCATTGTCAGGCAGGTGTTCAGCTATGTACAGGGAAGCAGGGCTCCATCATGTGTAATGATTTCTTGGGAAGACAAATGCCATCACTCTGAAAATCCCCCTTCCTTCTTCCCAGCTTTATATACTGAGCATGATTTCATATGATGTAGAGTATTCCTTGGGTCAGTTGAGGTCAGCTGTCCCATCTGCAACCCCTCCCAGCTTCTTGTGCACACCCAGCCTGTGGGGTGGGGTGAGAAGCAGAGAAAGCCTTGACTGTGTAAGCACTGCTCAACAGTAACTAAAACTTCCCTGTTATCAACACTGTTCTCAGCACAAATCCAAAACATAGCCCAGTACCACCTACTATGAAGAAAATTAACTCCAGCCCAGCCAAAACCAACGCAAACGATTAAATAGCTTATGCACAAACACGTTAGAAATATCTGCAAGTGATAAGGAGAGGCTCTTTACATGTAAGTATACCATGGATAAATGCAGACACAATTAATTTACCTCCCTCCCCTCAAATCTAGGACCTACATAATTGCATATGCATTTTACATCTTTATGCCCTTATTCAAAGCATTGTTGATGCTGCCACATTTTATAAACAGGAAACAAAATATAGCTGCAGCTTGAGGTAGGTATCTGGTATCCTGGTGTGAGGTTCTTAAAATAAATCAAGCTGATCTGAAATGTTATCTCTACACAGACTAGAAAACCCTGATTAGCATAGAGGCTGATCTTTGCTCTCACTTGTGATCAAACAAATAATAGATATCCATCAAGCTGTTCTTCCTCCAGGTACTGAAAAAGAATTATTTTGGTTTCTAAATACATGGGAGGTGTTCAGAAAGTGTTAGTCAGAGAGATCTGACAACTATCGGCTGGTTGTGGGAAATTTACTGCCTGCATTTCGGTATTAGCAAGATCTGTCATTTAG